TAGGGCTGCGTGGTCAGGCTGTTGTGCCTCATCAATTTATTGTTTTCATTCATTATATTAAGCAAAATTAAGGCCCTCTTTCGCAGGATCTTTTAGCTCATAATCAAATAACATATTTCTAAAATTTTACAGTGAAATTTTATGTTGTCTTCTATCATATTTCTTTTTATTATTAGATAATATTTCGATAAAATCTCCCCCAATAACATAAGTTATCAATAAAGTAAGGCCGAGATATATCATGTTAATTTTGAATGCAAACACCATTGGATATATAATAGCAAGTTGATTTTGTTTTTAATTTTTTTTAGTAAAGAACTTATTAAATACGTATGATATATAAATAAGTTAGCAGAACTCATTAAAAAATAAAAATAAAAATAAAAATAAAGTGCACTAATCATATTTATATAACATTTTACCACGTTATCATTTTATTTATTATTCGTGATAATTAGAACTGAAAAAGAAATTAATTCATGATATTTAAAAAGAAGAGAAAAAAAAAAAAAATTGGTCGAATAGCATTGCACAATACCGAGGGGGCCCAAAACAAATCCACAAATTCAACACATTGGCAGTAATAGTCAACAGTCAAACACCTCTCCGACCAGAGTCAGACTTGGTCAACGACCTCAGCCTTACCAAGAACTTAAGCCTTTTCTCCCCATGGTTATTGCTGTTGCTGTGATTGTTAATGCACCCTTCTTTGGCTCTCTTCTTCCCGCAACTGCTCTTCCCCGTCGGCGAGGAGTCCCAGTTCTCCGGTGAACCGACTACCAGGACGCTCTCCGGTGACCTGGTTGTGTGATCGTCGAACTCGATGGTCAACTCTCTCTCTCTTTGAGTCCCGCCTGTGTTACCGAGGATCTTGGCCTGCATGACCGCCACCACCTCCTTCATCGCCGTGTCAGCGTCCACTCTGTTCCTTAACATTACCTCCCCGATTTGTGCAGGAGTGAGAGCCCCACCAGATCTAATACAGCTATCCACCACGTCGAACAACGTATGAGATTCCAACCCTAAGTAGTTCCTGGCTAGCACCCTGAACGCATGAGCCCCACACGTACCAAGATTCACATGAACATCCATCCGACCACACCGGACAAGAGCAGGATCCACGTTATCTCTATGGTTGGTGGTGAAGACGATGATCCTCTCCTCCCCACAGCATGACCATAAGCCGTCGGTGAAGTTCAGGAGCCCTGATAACGTAACCCTCCCATTGTCATCATCTCCATTATCTCCTCGGCCACCACGTCGATGGGACTGTACAGATGATCTCTTCCTCTTCGGGAGAGTACTCCTGTCAGCCGTCAGATCAACCGAACAGTCAATGTCTTCGATGACGATAATAGACCGGTTGGTAGTCTGTATTAAAAGAGCTCTGAGCTCCGAGTTGTCCGTAACTTTAGTCAGTTCAAGATCGTACACGTCGTAACATAAGTAATTAGCCATGGCCGCGATCAAGCTGGATTTTCCCGAGCCGGGAGGGCCGTAGAGAAGATACCCTCGCTTCCATGCGCGGCCAACGCGGTGGTACAAGTCTTTAGCGTCGGAAAAAGCCGTTAGGTCGTCAGTGATTTGCTTCTTGAGGTTTGGGTCGAGAGCGAGAGTGTCGAAAGTGGAAGGATGGCGGAAGGGGACGGAGACCCAGCCGGAGTCGTAAGAGGCGTTGCCGTTGTTAGTATAGAGGCGACGGTCGCGTGAGAGACGCTCGAATCGCTCGGCCCGTGAGGTGAGGTGGTGGAGATAAGGGGAGAGGAGGGTGGCGCGGAGTCGTTTAGGGAGCTTTAGGGTGAATGAGCGTCTTTCATCGAGAGAGTCCTGGAGGGTATCAACATGATGGGTCCAGGTGAGGGATTGACCCATGAAGGTGTCATGGACGGAGTGGTTGGGGGCGACGGTGAACGTGACGGCAGGGGAGGACTTGGAACGGGAGAGTGTGAGACGGCGGCAGGAGGCGGAGGCGTTGAGGGAGTTCATGTAGAGGGTCACATGGCGGTAGAGGTCGTTAACGTCGACGCCACAGTAGCCGTTAAACTCTGGGATTTCGAAGTAAGCATAAGGAGAAAGCAAATCTTGGAGAGATTCATAGAGGGAATTCAAGAGTGAGAGGAGTTGAGAAGGAAGGATGTTCTGCAACACGGTGACGAGGCCAAGAAGTGACCAGAGTTGAGACAAAATCTCCATGTCGTATGTGTTTGTTTGTTGGTTGATGTGAATAATTAAAATATATAGATTGGATGTGGGTTTTGATTGAGCAGAAGTATAATAGGGTTGGTGGGGAAATATAGAAAATTATCTGTTTGCAATTGTGTGAGAAAATGGGAATAGATGGGTTTTGTTTTATATGTATGTATATATGATGATGAGATGATGATATTGAAGAGAAAAAGAGAGTGAGAGAGAAAAGAAAAGACAGTGTTGGAGGCTGAAAAAAGAAGAGGCAAAAGATAAAGGTAAAAGTAAAAGTTTAATGGAGGAGCCTACCACAGACTAATCTCTGCTATATATATATATATATATTATATACTCTATTCTTTTTTGCTTTTTACTTGCTTGGCTGTTGTTGTGGGACGTTGCTGGCTGCTTAAAAAAAAAATAAAAGAACCACTTTTCTTCGATCAGTCACATACACACACATAATATATCTCCATTAGTACTGTGTTCTATGTATATATATATATATATATATATATATATATATATATGTCTGTAGCAAGTAATATGTGAAGAGAGAGGCTTTGGTAATGGTTGGAGTTGGAGTTAGCGCATGCATGAACACACGAGACAGAGAGGGAAGGCTTTTGCTTTTTGGCTTATAAATCTGCTTTTGCTTTACATATTTTTGTTTTGGAATAATATATATATTATTATATGTATATATCAATGTTGGGTGGTTAGAGAATGTTCTTGGAATTATTATGCTCATCATCGTCAATATCACCTGTAATCATTTTTTTACCTTCAACTACTTCAATCTCCATGCCATATTAATCATATTATGTATGTATATATATATATATATGTATACATACACACACAAAGTTCATCCAACACACTGGGTAAATATTTCTTTTAGGTGGCACTTACTTATTAATAACAATCTAATTAACGTTACTTACATATCAACAATAATATAATCAATTTTTGTGGTCAAAATAATAATAAATTAATCTTTGAAAATATACACGTACCCAAATTCGCAATCTGGTATAAAAGAATGAACATAAAAACTATATAATTAAAAAGTGACTGGTTCAAAAACTTGAAGTAATAAACAATGATTAATTCTATCAACTGTTTATGTTTTCATATATATATATATATATATATATATAATATTATATTACATATGAAGGGAGTGAAGAATGAATTAATGTATATATATGTATATATAGATTAAAGGGAGGTGGTGGTAATAACATTGAATTTCCTTTTTTACTTGAAATTTTCTCAACATCTTTATAGTGCTTTTAAAACAAAGTTCAATTTTATTGTTCTTTCGAATTTTTATGTAAATTCCCTTTGAAGAAAGGTACAATTTTTTTATAGTATATATACATACCCAATACACATATACATATACAACTTGTGTAATGAATGGATTAGTTGAATTAAATATAAAACTGTTGAATTTGTGAAATTAATTAAAGAAAGTGGAGAAGCTTGGGCGGTCGCATGAAAAGCCACAAAGCTAGGCAGCTAGATAGGTCAGCCTTGCCCCGTGAATTGATGAGAGAAAAGCTGAACTAATTCCTACAAGAATAAAGCCATAAATTAAAAGAGCTTCTACCCATTTGCATATAATACAGAATGTCAATGATTCCATGCAATATATACATATACATATATATATATATATATAATATTCAGATATATGTTTTTCTCTTTACCTAACTCATATAATTGGGTAATTCTCTATATATTGGCATGAAATTAGTGTGTTGTATGTGTATTTTTTCACCCTTTTAAGCATTATATCATAAAGTATTTTCCCTATAATCTTTTAATTAAATAATATATATTTTATTAACAAAACCATATATATACACCAATTATATAAGAGAAGTTTCAATTATTCAACTAATAAGTTCTATAACTATGATTTTCTATAAACTTACATATATTTTCCAAACTTATACTTATTTTTCAAATTCTAAATTCCCTATAGGAAGTCTCTTTTTTTTTTTTTCAAGTTATATATATATATATATATATATATGTCTATGTGTATATGGTTAGTTTATTAACTACCGGTCAAGGGAGGCTTGTGATATAAGTTAGTTGAGGAGGGGGAACAATAAGGAAGCAGAATTGATTCTGCTTTGAGGTTCCATCTTTTAATGTTATGGACACGAGACCCAAAAGAAACATACCTAAAGAAGCTTTAAACATATCTTTTTTTTTTTTTTACTCATTCATATCATATAATATAACTCCCTATTTCTATACATATATTTCTCTTAAATTATAAATTACTTATTTCCATCTATATAACATTCATATATATACGAGTTTGAATTCTTAATCATAACATTTATTAATATATTGACAGGATTAAATTTGGATAAAACTTGATAAATTTATAACATTTTTGAACGAAAGCAATTAAATTCTCTTAATTAAAATATTTTTAATGGGTGTTAAAAATTGACTTAAATCTTTATTTTAAAAATATATATATATATATATGTTATTGCCTGAAAACCCATTAAAGAAACTACAATGACCCAACCCAATATTAACTAAATGGATCACAAGTAGACAATTAATTTAAACTATAATTGTTAGCCAGCCTGTTTCTATTAAGCCCAAACGTGTAAACCCATTTCTTCCATTCTTCAAAACAATGTCGTTTCATGGTTTTTTTTTTTTAATTTATTTTTTTTCTTCTCTGAACATTTTGACACACCGAAAATTGATTGAATAGCTTTAAGTATTTGATGGGATGAAATAATGAATTTAATTATATTTTTTAAATGAATATGGTGCATCTCCATGGTTTTATTATTTTTTTTTGCAAAAAAAAAAAAATACATATTTAGTTAATTGAATATGTTTGGTTCGTTGACGAACTCGTTAAGTTTAATTTGATATTTAGTAAAAAAAACAAAAATAGTTGAACAAATAACCAAACACTTATCGTTTTTATTATGATTTTGCATAAAAAATTTCAACTTATAAAAAAAAAAGGACTTAAATCTTTAAATTCTCTATGATGACTCTCAAGATTCTTTAATTTAAAGGATTTGCTTTAAATTTATATTTAAATTTTTGGGTTATTGGAAGTTTGGGCGGAATATGTAGAGGAAAAAGTTTCACTCTTGTTCTCACACGGGAGAATTGAAAAATAAATAAATAAAGAGATTTGACTTCAAAAACCGAGTCATTAGAGAATACTTGCTATTACTCTCATTCTTTTTCTTGATTTTGATACTTTGGAGGGGAGGAAAAATATTTTTGCTCTTTGTTTTATATGTTCTTTATTATATATTATATTACTTCTTTATACCATCTTCACATATATTAAATAACTTAAGAATTTATCAAGTGACTAATAAATTTATATCTAACAGTTATTTATAATAAATTTTTATAAATAACTTCTAATTACATAACAATCTCAAACCATCAACACAATGATTAAATTTATAAACTAATAATTTATGTTAAAAGTGAATTAAGTATATGACTCGTAAAAATGAATATACTCATAAAATTAAAATATATTATAAAAACTAAAAGACGTAACTTGAATCTTATCTACTCACGGGTTTGTTTTCAAATGCGTCAAAAAATTGATTCAAAATGTCAAATTAGATCTACTGTTTTACTTGTGGTTAGTTACTATTTAGATAACAATAATACGATCGGACTTGAGTTATTAATATAGTTTGACATCTTAATTATAAAAACATTGATAACATGCCTAGGATACTCCGGTGTTAGTTGGGATTAAACCTACTTCTTTAAAGATGTAACTATTTTTGATAACATGATTTAAAAATAAAATATGGTGATTAAAGGAGTCTTCTTGTGTGCTCATGTGAGTGGCACATTGTGGGAGTTAGTAGGAAGATCAAACAAGGCAATCTATATCTCTCATGCATTTTTCAACCCCATAACATCATGAGGTAATATCTCATATGGTAGAGAAAATGACACACACACACACACAAGAAAATAAAGTGTATATATATTATTCTTAGATCAAATTTATAAATTCATCAATTAGTGAATATATAGATACTAATAAAATCACATAAGCAAATAAATTAGTTAATAAATACTCAAATAAGCAAATAAAGTATATATATTATTCTTTATTACAAATGATCAAATGAGTTGAAGGAAAGAAAAATAAAATATTGAAAGTACTTTACTTTAGCTAGTCACCCTACTCATACTCTACTTAATCTTTTAATTACTCCATCAACTAATTAATTCCATACATACTTGCTGCTAATTACCAACTCCATACAAAATGGGAATGATTGACTAAACAATAAAAGAAACTAAAACGAAGATACATGACATATATATATATATATACATTTATCTGGCGAGAAGAGGAAACCATCGTTGTTGGAAGTAAGACTGATACGAAACCATGAAGAGGAGGAAGACGAGGACGAAAGCGAGGCCCCAAGGAGTGTGAAGAGAATCCTTATGATCAGGAAATGGAAGGAGGTAGCCGTAGTTGCTTCGATGGTTAGAGAAACAGTGAACCAGCAGCAAAAGCAAGAGAGGGGACACCATTACCACCGTCTTCATTTGGTCCAACACACTCTCCACCACCGGCTCGTAGTTCACGTACCAGGATAACCCTAGAAACATCAGCAGTATCACCATGAAGAACAACACATGCACCGGCACACCACCACCTGATGAATTATAACTATCCATATCTACTGTTACTGCAGTTGGTTTTCATGAATCTTGGGGGTGAAGAGAGATACATATATACATGTATATATGTAGTACTAGTATATTGAGGTTAGATTATAGAGATTCCTACCTTTTGAGAATGAAAATGGACGGCGAGGGAGGTCAGTGGCTGAGATAGATTGGAGAAAAAGAGGAGTAATCAAAGACTGACACGCGTCACCGACCCATTGACTTTTTTATTATTTCGTTCAGAAAGAAAAATTTTACACGACAGATTTGGCATGGGATGATTGGAAAGGTCGACTCATATAATATATATATATATATATATATCAGCCCCGAACAAGTGCCCGTGAATTAATGCCCTCGATCATAGGAAATCCTGCTAGATTAATAATTTTATTATAACATAGGGAACAAACCATCATGGTTTACGTTTATAATTTTATTATAACATTAAAAATTGGTTTATGATTATATACCCTTGTCTTAATTATTTTGAAAAATATCTCTTTCTATATGTATGTATATATATATATATATATATATATATGTATTTGCTGGTCAAGATGATCAGTTTCCCTCAGAAAGTGGATTACCACTAGACTGGATCTTTAACTTTAAAGTTTTATACTTAATTATTGATTAATAATTATTAATGGCTTTTAATTTCCGACTATACTTGGATTTCTAAAGAATCTTGCATGTGGCAACTGAGATCCAACTTAACTAATTAATTACTATGTAAATATGTAATAGCACAAATTTTCATCTATCTCATCGTACCCATATCATATAATGAAAACATAATATATAGAAATATTTTACACAGTTGATCTTAAAATAATAAAAAAAATATCTTTTACATACATTTTCATATACAGTACTGATTGTACGCATATCATACCATGATAAAATAATATATAGAAATATTTTGCGCGTTAATCTTAAAATAATAAAAAAATATATTTTATATACTTAGCTCAAAATATCTAATATTCATAAAAAATGTCTGAATTCTAAATTAAATAGTTACTACAAAAGAAATAATTAATCTTAAGTACTGTTTGACTTAAAATAAATATTAAACGATTTTATGATAAGTCTCTCATTATTCAAAAGCGGAACTCTGAATATTTTGATCTGAAAAAGATGAATAATAAATATACTGAGCTTAATATGCTCAGTAAGTATGTACGTACTAAAAAATAATAGAGTAATATGTCCAAGTTGATAAAAAATATAAAACTATCGACAAAAAATATTAAAAATACTTTTCTCTTTAATTCAAAAAACGCGTGGTATCTACATTATAATTCATTAACAAAGCGTTTTAAATCAATTTATTTAGTAAACATTAAGAATTCATTATTTCAGTATCATAACTCAGGATATAAACAATTCAATAAATAACATAACTCAGTATTCAATATCGCAATTTAGATAGTACACAGTGCATTAGATATCAATTAAGTATTTCAGTATCATAAATATTACACATGACTTTTTATTCATTCTTATTAGTTTATATCCTATTAAAATAGTTCTACCGCCTGATGTCATTTTCACCGATATCAACTAGAGCAGTAAGGATCTCATCTACCACGTAAATACTTCACAAATTAGTTCTCAGTTAACAGTTTCCAGTACACAGTATACAATTTACAGTTTTTATCGCTTCGCTATGTCTAGCTAAAACTATATCCACGGATAGGATTTACCACAGTCACATGCCAAAAGGCTACATACACACCCTCCTTGGTGATATCAGTTAAATAGATTTTCTAAATCTTTTTAATATTTATTTATTTATTTCAACTCACTAATAAATTTTTTAATTTTTATTATTTAATATATTCTATAGCTATAACACACATACTGTAGCTATTCATCACTCTAAACTCTTCTATATATCCTTAATATACTTTCAATTATACAGAAACCAGTATCTATACGAATTTAGTTAAAAATATAACAAAATAATTCATTAGCAATTTCAATAATAAATATAAATAAGAACACAACAATCAATAGTAAAATTTCGTTGGAATCCTGTGCCTAATTACCAATTATTAAATATCATAGTTTTAGTATTTTAGAAAGATTAAACTATATTTGTAAGTGCTTACGTACTTACCTGATTTTCATTTACGAATTTATTTTACAAAAGAGTTTTCAAATGCCAAATACAATCATGTGTAACCACCAAAAAGATGTATTATTACACGCCTCCACACAATTTCACCGAAGTGTACATACGCCACCACCGAAAATCGTCACGCGCTACCACTGGACCACCGTGTGTCGCCACAAATCGATTGAAACATGGCACAGAATGCACCGCACGCTCAGATTTGATGCAGATAAAGTGAAATCACGTTGGAAAACGGTGCAGATGCGCAAAATAATGCTTTAGTCTTCGCGCTCCGATCTTCTTCTCCAGCGTTGCTCTGTCGTGCCCAACTACTTTTCCACTCTCCCTTTTCTTGCTTCGACACAAATCGAGAATAAACTGGGTGTGTCACCGCCGCTGCTGTCTTCTCCTTTTTTTTCTTATTCTTACTTCATTCCCTCTTTCTCTCTCTCTCTCTCTCTCTCTCTCTCTCTCTCTCTCTCTCTTTCTCTCTTTCCACCTTTCTCTCTTTACCCAATCCATCTCTCTCTCCCGACTCTCTCTTCCTCTTATAAGTAGGAACAAGAAGATTCCTTCACGCCTCGCCTCTTCCTTCTCCAATAAGCTTCAGAAGCGTGTACGCATCCTCTTCTTCTCCTTCTTGCAGAGTCGTAACTCCGTTTTTTTTCTTTTCTTATTATCAAAACGACGTCTTTTTGATAATCTCAAAACGATGTTGTTTCTACCTCCTCTTTTTCTTTTCTTTATATCAAAAAGAAGTTGTTTTTGGGGTTTATCAAAACGACGTCATTTTAACTTTTCCTGTTTTTAAGAAACATATGGGTTTGATTTTATTTTTAATGGGCCGGAGTGTTACAAAACATGTATAGATTATTTTATAAATTTAAGCTAATAAAAAATGTCTAATTAATTATTTATATTTTTACATATTTCTTTACATAAAATTTACTAAACTGAAAATGTGAATAGTATGTAAACATATTCAGAAACAAAAACCTCAAAAGTTAGTAAATTGTAGTAGTAGCAAGATTGATTGAGTTTTTCTCTCTATGATTTTAGTCCAGCAACTTTCTTACGTGTGTTATAACATGTTTCCTTAGGTATAAATCTACTAAAGAGAAAATCTCGAATAATTCATAAATATTTCTGGAAAGTAAAAATCTCAAGAGTTTGTAAATTGTAATAGTAGCAAGTTGATTGAGGCTTTTTTTTTTATCTATGATCTTTGTCCAACGATTTTCTTATATATATCTTAATATGTTATTTTTTGCATAAATTTATTAAATTGAAAATGTGAATCGTACATAAATATATTCCATGAGTAAAAACCTCAAAAGGGTTTATATATTTTTAGTGGTAGTAGATCGATTAGGTTTTTTCTCGAGAATTTTAGTCCAACGAATGACTTCATTCACGTTCAAGAAGTAAAAGATAGAAGAGATGAAGTTGATGTTATGCTCAATTTGAGGCTTCAATTTCTTCCCTTTAATTTTTTTCAAAAAGGAAAAAGCCAGCCCAATATTTTTTCAAGTATCATCAATAAAACCCATAAGAATTATGGGCTCTCTGTAGTTTGCCAATTGGAACAGTAACCCAAGGCCCATATGTTCACTACCCAAAAACATTATGATGTGAGAGACGATGATGATGTCATGTGTTGAAACTAAAATGGGAAA